ACAATTGACTTCAGTTTTTTTTTTCTAAAGCGCAAAATACAAAATATTCAACTTCACGAGATTTTAATAAAATGAAGCACCTCCTTAGGAGACATTTTATTCAAGAAACAGGGTCGATGTAAACATCAGTTAAAGGAGCTAAGGGAATGGAGAAAGCAGAAAAGAGACAGAAAAGAGAAAATTCGTAAGAGAAGATGAAGAAAAGAAAAGCGAGGAGGAAGAGGAAGCCCTAAATAAATTGGGGTGACTGGGCCGAAGGTGTCTTCCAAGTTCTAGCTTGGTCCTATAATCGTTCTGTCAGTCTCCGCTGTTTACACTCTGCTGTCTCCTCCATCTCGCAGCGCGGTTACTTTCCTGTACCCCACATCCCCATACCTGCAGAAAGGAAGCTTGGTAACTATGCACGAAGTTAAGACACCTTATCAAGACCCTCCCCCCCCCCCCACTCCAGCCAGTCTATGTAAATCCCAGCTATTCCACTTACTGGCTAGGTAAGTAGCTTTTCTACGACTGTTTTCTCTTCTGGAAATGAGGATGGTAATACAACTACCTCAGAGTTGTGAAAATGGAAACCAGGTAGTATGGTAAGCAAGCACTTAATAAGCATTAGATATTTTTATTATATTTGTTCAATGAACTCCAGAAAATAAGGTATTTGAAAACAAGGCCTTTGCCTATTTTGTTAAAAACTATTATCTTCATCACCTACAACAGTATCTGCCTGGCACTTAGTAGGTTTTAAATAAATAGTTGGTTGAATAAATGAAAAAGGAAAGTAGGTTCTGAGGCCTGTTAGGCTCATTGTTCTCAATGGAAGTGAAAGAACAACAACAGATGGTATGTCCCAAAGGTACTTTTGAAGTGACTGTGTTTTAAAAGACTAATTATTCATTTTTCTTATATTTTAGAAGTTTAGTTACTCCCAAAGTGCATATACTACCTACTAGCAAGAACTGTTCTAAGACAGTAAATATGAGACAATTTCTCCTCCTAGTTCTGCCTAAACTTGGACCTAACACTTCCCTTCTCTGGGCATCAACTTTCAATCTGTGAAAGTAGGCCTTTGAATCGGATGAGTTCTTCCAGCTATGAGACTTATGCAGTCCTTGCCCTTAAGGATTTCACATTGTAAGGGAGCTTATTTTGGCATTAGATCTGGATTCATATGTGCTATTTATCAGCAATGTAACCCTGAGCAAGTGATCCAGTCCTTTGGAACTCGTTTTTTTATCTGTAAAGTGGGCATGATGTCTCCTATCTCTGACATTTTGCAAAGATCATTTGAGATCATTTATGTAGAGGACTTAGCATAGTGCCCGACACAGAAATTCTTCATAGAAAGCTCTTTCCCACTCTGGGCACAGGGAGAACAAAATTATGAAGGACAGGCATACTGAGATTCTGGATATGTCTTCCCTTCTCCTGCCTATCTCCTCTCCTCCTCTCCTTATGGCATCTGAATACAGTTCATTCTCAAACAAGTACTTTTTCTTTCTGTGTTTAAAACTGGATATAATACTGTCCCCCTGGGAAAATGGCTGATCCCAAATTTTAGGCCAGGGTAAATAGTAGATGAGGCTGAGACATCACATTGTGGCAGAAAGTAAGGAAACTCCCAAGACAATGGTGTTGTGTGAAAAGGACACAGATCACCTTGAAAAGGTTTCTGCTAGTCAAACTTGGTATAATTTTGAGCATGAAGAAGCAATAGTAATGGATTATAACTCTCAACTCTGAGGTATTCACCATTGAGAGTTGTTCCTGACTGGCACGGTTCAGTTGGTTGAGTGTTTGTTGTCCAGCAAAGTGAAAGGTTGCTGTTAATTCCCAGTCAGGTCACATGCCTGGGTTGCGGGTTTGGGCCCCCAGTTGGGGCACATGTGAGAGAGGCTGGGGATTGATGTTTCTTTCTTTTCATCCCTCCCTTCCCTTATCTCTAAAAATAAATAAGTAAAATAGGAGGGAGGTGATTTCTTTAGAGAGTTCAACAGTCACTAAAAATGTTCAATGAGTATGTTGAATAATATGCATGGATGCTAAAATTAGAAAATCACCATTTTACAGCACTAGCTAATTTGGGTAAAAATAATCATGGATGCTAAACCCATTGGGCCTTTGGGCAATAAGATATTCATACAATCTCAAGTATCAGTCCACACATTACTTATTAACTACAAAGGGAAAGAATACCTTAACAATGGAGAAATCTTACACCCACTTAATCAAGTCTCTACCAATAACGAGACAAACTGGCATTACATTCAAGTGGACCCTTGAATGTGACAGTTAGAGGCACTCACCCCTCGTCCCCCACATAGTAAAAAATCTTCATATAACTTTTGACTCCTTCCAAAACTTAACAGCCTTCATTTGACCAAAAGTCTTACTGATAACAGTCAAGTAACACATATTTTGTATGCTATATGTATTATGCATTGTATTCTTACAATAAATAAGCTTGAGAAAAGAAAATGCTTTTAAGAAAATCATAAGGAGCCCTGGCCAGGTAGCTCAGTTGGTTATTGCATCTTCTCAGTTCACCAAGGTTACAGCTTTGATCCCAGGTCAGGGCACAAACAAGAATCAGCCAATGAGTGCATAAATAAGTGGAACAACAAATTGATGTTTTCTCTTCCTTCCTCTATATAAAAATAGAAAATCATAAAGAGTTTGGTGGCAGGGGCAGAGGGATTGAGCAAAAAAAAAAAGAAAAAACTCCTGGATCCGGACAAGAGTGTGGTGATTGTGGGGGGTGAGGCGAGGTGGAGGGTGATAAATGGTGATGGGCAGAGACGTGACTTGGGTGGTGAACACATCATAATATAGTGTACAGATGGTGTTGTGGGACTGTGCACTTGAAATCTGTATAATTTTGATAACCAGTGTCACCCCAATCAATTCCAATACAAAGAAAAGAAAATCAACAGGAGGGGGGAACAAAAGGAAGGGTCAAAGAACATGTATAAAGGACACATGGAGAAAGACAAGAGTGGGTAAGGATTGAATGTGGGAGGTGGGGGGAGGGGAAGGCAGGGCAGAGTAATGGAAAAAATGAGGAAACTATAACTGATCAACAATTAAAAGAGACATATATATTTTTTAAAATAGTTTTTTATTAATTTTTATAGAGAGGGGAAGGGTGGGAGAAAGGGAAAGAAACATCAATGTGTGGTTGACTCTCAAGTGGCCCCCACTGAGGACCTGGCCTGCAACCCAGGCATGTGCCCTAGCTGGGAATCGAACCAGTGACCCTTTGGTTCACAGCCCACACTCAATCCACTGAGCCACACCAGCCAGGGCAGAAATATATCTTTTAAAAAAAGAAAATCATAAGGAAAACACCTCTACAGTATTTATTGAAACAGAACTACATACAGTGGACCTGTGTAGTTTAAATCCGTATTGTTCAAGTGTCCACTGTACTTCCTGATGTGATGCAATGAAAAATAAACAAAATCATCTATGTAGAATTTTCCCCAAAAATGGTTAACCTAAACCTAATTATGAGAAAACATACAATAACACTGAAACCCAGGTTGTAGGACATTGTTAAAGAAAAAAATAACAGGCTGAACTCTTCCAAAAACACAGACATCTAAGAGCAGGTTGGATACTGTCCTCAATTCGTAGAAGACTAAAGAAATACAATGAAATGGAATGGGATCCTTGACTGAAGGGGAATAAATAGCTATAAAAAACATTATTGGAGCCCTGGCTGGCTTAGCTCAGTGGACCGAGCTCCTGGGGCCTACCAACCAGAGGATCGCAGTTTGATTTCCGGTCAGGGCACGTGCCTGGGTTGCGGGCCAGTTCCCAGCAGGGGGCGCAAGAGAGGCAACCACACAATGACATTTATCTTCCTCTCTCCTTCCCTTCCCCTCTAAAGATAAATAAAATCTTTTTAAAAAAAGACCAAAATAAAAAAGAACATTATCGGGACAACCAAGGAAATTTGAATATGAAAAACTGAATATTAGCTACTTCACTACTGTCTTTTTAAAGATTTTATTTAGTTTTAGAGCAAGGGCAAAGGAGGAAGAAGAGAGAAATATCAATGTGTGGTTGCGTCTCACACACCACCTCAGTGGGGGCCTGGCCCACAACCCAGGCATGTGCCCCGACTGGGAGTCAAACTGGGGACCCTTTGGTTTGCAGGCCAGCACTCAATCCACTGAGCCACACCAGCCAGGGCCTATTTCACTACTGTTAAATCTTAGGGGTGATAATGGTATTTTTATTCTATAGAAATATAGCAAAATTTAATGAAGGAATGTCATCTGCAATTGACTTTCAAATGAGTCAGCAAAGACAACAAAGGTACATATTTGTACACATACGCATTTGCAAATGTGTAGAGATAAAACAAGTGAAAAATGTCACAAATTGGTAAATACAGGTAGAATGCATATATAAGGGTTCATTGTACTAATCTCTTACCTTCACTAAACTTTGAGTACTGATCTCTTAAGTTCACTGTAAGTTTGATATTATTCGAAATATAAAGTTGCGACTCTGGGCCCAGACCCTCCCTCTTCCAGGAAGCATGCACTGATTAAAGAGGGCACAGAGAATACGCTTTTCCCCAAACACACCTCCACACAGGCAGCTTTTCACGTTAATTAAACACCCCAACTCTGGCTTCCCAAAGAGTTTCTGAAAATTAAAAGGGAAATATAATGCTTGGTCTTCACTTTATTAAAAATGTAATCCAGCAAAGGAAGCAGCGACAAATATGCTATAAAATGATTTGGCTGATGACATCACCCTGGCTGATGACACAGAAGTGGTGAGGCTGGTATCAGGACCCTTAACCTCCTCTGCCATCTCTACAGTAATCTATATTTTGGTCACAAATGAAAAGTTAGAGTGTCACTCACTAGACAGACAGGGCTGTCACAGAGGCTGGCTTCTTTGTGGTCCCCTTTCCCAACTGCCTTCTTCCACACTCACAGACCCCTGTTCATGGTCCGTCCGCATCCTTACATTTAATCACACACATCTCAGTGAGAACTCTAGGGCTTTATTTCAAATGGAGTTGACCGCTAAGAAGCCCCCTCTCAACACCTCCTTCCACTGCAGGTCACTAGGCCATTCGGACAAGGGGTCTGGGGAGAGTGAAAACGTGCAATGTTTACTCCAAACTGTTCTGAAACAACCACTGAGTCCTCCTGGCTCCAGTTGAGAATCTTCTGGTGAACAGGGTTAAGATTTAGCTCCCTTCTTCAAGATCCTCCATGTCTACATCCTGGGGGGCTTTGGTCTTCTTTTGAAGTTTGGTCTGTGGTCCACTAGTCCTGGCTGGCTTTGCAGGGATTTCCACTGAGCAAAGAGAAGAAGCATTCAAGAACCCAAGTGGATCCAGGCTGCCCCCTCGCCACCCGCCCTTGGTGTCCCACCCTCACCTTCCATGGCTGCTTTCTCCTTCTGGGAAAGACGGATCTGCTGGAGGAGTTTTCTGCGCTTCTTCCCAGACAGAGTAATGTTGGCACGTGCACTGGACCTGAAGGGTCGGTAGGAGCAAAGGTCCAGGTTAGCCTGAACCAACACAAACCACGGAAGTGGTTTTAGCTATTGAAAAGGTCTAGCTATCTTTGGGGCCACTTCAAAGAACTGCTTCAAAAGCAGGGCTCTAAGGTAGTGAGTTTAAACTGAACAGATAAAATATTTAATTTTAAATTTTAGTATACTGTAGAAACTTCTAAGGGAAAACTATTTTTCCACTCTATTCTCCGTACTTCTGACACCAGATGTCGGGGTGGTTGTGGGGGGGGTGTTCTCACATCAAACAATTCTTCTGTTCTCAGCAGTTATTAACATACTGTCCTACAAATTTAACTCAATTCTGACATTACTCACCTGGAGACAGCATATTGTTACCCATACTTCTGACCCACTCGCTGTAAGTCAGGGTTCCCATCCCCTTTTCAGACTCCACAATTTGCTGGAATAGCTCACAGAACTCAGGGAACATTTACTTCTGTTTATTGATTTATTATAAGCGGATACAACTCGGAACAGCCAGATGGAAGAGAAGCAGAAGGCGAGGTATGGGGAAGAGGCCAGAAGTTTCTTTCCTTTTTGATTTAATCTTTATTGTATGTTTTTGCCCATTACCATTTAATCCTCTCATACCTCCGCGCCCCCCCACCCCATCCCCGCAAAGTTTCCGTGCCCTGTCCAAGTAAGCTGCCTTCTCAGCACCTCCACCAATTCACCAACCAGGAAGTTCATCAAATCGGTTGTTCCAGAGTTTTCCTAGAGCTGAATCGACAGCACCCCCACCTGCTCCTGCCCCACCTCTTAGAGGTCCACGGGCAGCGGGGAGGGGTGCGGCTTAATTTTCCAATCCTCTAATCACTGGGTTTTTCTGGTTACCAGTCCCACCCTGTCATTCATTAACATCAACTTAGGTGTGCTCAGAAGGGGCTCCTAAGGAAACAAAAAGACACTGCTATCTCTCTGAAGGTTTTAGGAGCTCTGTGTCAGGAAAAAAAAAATTCTTTACTATAAACTCTGCAAATATTGATAAAGAAGAAGTCGATGAAAGAATGGGATGGGAACTCTTCCCCAAGGCCCCGGGGCCCCTGAAAATTTCATGCAAAACCCCACATGTGCCTCGGAAAATTCATCTAGTTGTATGCACATACATCTAGTTGTATGTAAAGCACTGTGCGCGCTTTAAAATTTACTTATAAAAATGTATGTTCAGAGATGGGAGAGTCAACAGCTTTCCTTAAGATTCTCAGTGAGGTCCAAGACCCCAAAAAAAGGTTGTAAGCTACCGGTACAGTGAGAGGCTAGAAGACCCAAGGCACAAACACGGCAGGCACGTCCCTTGCATAAACGCGAGTGCACAACGGAAGCAGAGAGGTGCTAGCTACTCCGGAGCTCGGCAGAAACAGGAAAGGAGACTCGGTGGGGAGGACCCAGGGGAAGAGAGTCTGGCACTCACGCCCGCTTCTTGAGGTGGTGCTTCGTGATCAGCCCGTCGTCTATCACAGCCCCGACAACCCGGTACTTCAGCCGCCGCTCTCGAGTCAACACCCGCCGTCGCTTGAACAGTTTCTTCTTCAGCTCCTGCAGGGAAAAAAGATGCTAATCAAACCGAGGCCGCGCACCGCGACCCGGGATCCCCGCATCCGGAGACTCTAGCCTATCGATCCCATCTCGGGCAGGACTAGAGAGCTCCGGGACGCTTCGGAAACAAAGTCGGTGGTCCCGCACAGTCACCGTTCGGGGCCGGTTGATCTTCCCTCCCGGACCACCCATGGCAGAGCAGATTTGCCGGCTTTGGGTCTGCGTTTCCGCTCCACGCTGGGTACGTATGGGCCCCGCCCCTCAGGCCTCCGCAAGCCAATCGTGGCTCGGGGGCGGGCCCTGCTGCTATATAAAGAAGCTCAGCTGGCTTTTCCACCTTTTCGAGGACCGTCGCAGAGTGAACCTGGTGTGTTAGTTCGGTAACCAATCTGGCGTTCCTAACGGTTTGGGGAGGGGCTTGTGGACCCTCCTCTTCTTGGCGGGGGTCGGGCTTGCGCTGCCGGTCCCCGTAATGTACGGAGGCAGAGGAATGGGGCTCCGGCCCCCTCGGCGTCATGTCTTCGGTGCCGACGGTTTCCAGTCCGCCGGTTCTATCCTCAAGCGCCGGGACATTGGTCTCGAAAAAGCAGGGTAGAAAAAGTTCCTGCGGGCTGTTCCACAGGGTACTTATGCTTCCTCCTTTTGTTTCAGGTCTGCGAAGCCGCCCCAGGAACCGAAGCTCTCCTGTCCTCGCCTTTTCCATTCCCGTTTGTAACCAACCAATAAAGGCCGTTAGTACCATTGTAGGTGTGTGTGTGTGTGTGTGCGCCCGCTTGCTCTTTTCTGAGGATGCAGAGTTAGGCTATACGCGTTATTCCGCAAAGCTGATTTTGCAGATCTTCTCTTGAATCTCAGGCTTCGTGGAAGGGCGGGCAACATTTCGAAGAAGGTTCTCTGGCTGATCTTGCCGGCACTTCTGAATGGCGGCGATGCGCCGAATCCTCCGCTGGGCGACCCTGGCCGCTGGGACGCGCCGCGATTTGGCGGGTAGGGCAAGGTTGTTTCTTAATACCCCGAGAGTCTACTCCCTGCAGTGTGGCTTTTAAAACCTCAAGTTACACTGCGCTGTTTTTGCAGCAGTTTGATAGAACTCGAGCGCCCGATGACACATACCTTCCACCTGTCCACAGGTTCCCTGGCCGGTAGCTGCCTGGCGGACCGCTGCCTCTGGGATAAGCTTCACGCCCAGCCCCGTCTGGGCAGAGTTCCCACCTTCGACTGGTTCTTTGGGTACGAGGAAATTCAGGGGCTCCTATTGCCACTGTTGCAGGGGTCCCAGGCTGCCTGTCCACTGCGAGTTTTAGACGTGGGCTGTGGGACTTCCAACCTGTGTACAGGCCTCTACACCAAGTGCCCACACCCCGTGGACGTACTGGGGGTGGACTTCTCTCCTGTGGCTGTGTCCCACATGAACAGCGTCCTGGAAGGTGGTCAAACACCTCTGTGCCCTGCTCACCCTGCCTCCCGCCTCCACTTCATGCAGGCTGATGCTCAGAACCTGGAGCCAGTGGCTTCCTCAGGCTCCTTCCAGCTAGTACTGGACAAGGGCACCTGGGATGCCGTTGCTAGAGGTGGTCTGCCTGGGGCTTACCAGGTGCTGTCAGAATGCCTGAGGGTCCTATGCCCCCAGGGGACCTTGATTCAGTTTTCAGATGAGGACCCAGATGTGCGGCTTCCCTGCTTGGAGCAAAGATCCCAAGGCTGGACTGTGACTGTACAGGAGATAGGCCCTTTCAGGGGCATCACCTACTTTGCTTACTTGGTTCAAGGCTCCCAATAAAGACTTTTGTCTCAACCCTACAATTTTTGTTGGGTGAGGAGAGGTGGAGAGACCTTTGCCTTTGCAAGATGGCTGGAAAAGGAGAATTTCAGTCCTGGCTTCCACGTTTCCTAGGTGGGTGCACAAAGTATTAACGGTTTCTGTGCCCGGTTTACTCATCAGCAAGGTAGGAATGATACACCTGGAGTTATGGATTATATACAATGATAGCTGAAACATTGAGCAGGCCCAGGCCCAAAATGAGTGCTGAATAGAGAAGATCCAGGTGGATCATTCCCCACTCCCAGCTAACTGGAACTTCTAGAAGCAGCAGTTAAGAATTGTTAATCAGAACCCAGTGGCCAAGCCTCATCACATTTTCCTCTCCTGTGAATAGGAGGAAGTTGTGAAAGGATAGGTAAAATTGCTCTATAAAGAAACCTAGCTAAAATGTTAAAGGAGAGAGAACAAACAATAACTTACCCTCAAAGCTCCTGGGAGGAGGGAGGTGGGGGTATTCCACATAGTGGCTTCTGCAGACACGGAAGCCCGTGGGGTCCCAGGGAGGACAGGGACTGGGTGCTTCCTCACACTCTGTATCCTCGGGAATCCAGGAGGCGTCTTGCTCTACCTGTTCCTGCCCCCAGCTGAGTTGGGGGTTAACAGTTCTTAAGGGAGATCTGGGGTCCAGTGGGCTCCATGTCCAGCCTGGAGGGACACGGGGGAAGGGAGTTAAAGAGCCCATTGACAATGAAAAATATTTCTGTCCATTGAATTTTTTTAAATAAAATGAGCTTGTGATGCTTGTTTCACTTCAGATCAAATATTTTGCCTTTTGCTAAAACAACAAACATGGATTTGTAATTTGTGCCTATAAAGTAATACAGCAATTATAATGAAAAACTTAAATTCACAGCCTCAGTTTTCTCTAGAGGGGAAAGTATACCCCTCATTGGATTCTGAAAATCTTCGGGTACAAAGTGTTTATAGTACAGTGCCTGGCACATAGTAAATACTCAAAGAAACAAAAGTTTCTATAACAGCATGTAGACACGATAAAATACCTGCAAAAAAACATCTCAAATGTTAACTGTCTCTAGGTAGTCAGATTTGGGGTAATTTTATTATCTATTTTCCCCCACAACAAACTAAATATTTCAAAATACTAAAAACACATTAAAAGACATGAGCTCTAGCTGGTGTGGCTCAGTGGATTGAGTGCCGGCCTGTGGGCTGGAGGGTTGCTGGTTCAATTCCCAGTCAGCGCACATGCCTGGGTTGAGCGCCAGGTCCTTGGTTGGGGGTGTGCAGGAGGCAAACACACATTGATGTTTCTCTCCCTCTCTTTTTCGTCCCTTCCCCTCTCAAAATAAATAAATGAAATATTTAAAAAAAAAGAAAGAAAAAGACATGACTTATCCAACATCGGAACTGCCCTCTAAAGGTCAATTCTGACAGCCACCCTGACCTTTCTCTCCCACCTCAACATTTTTCTTGACTCTGTTGACTGAACATCTGTGTGCCTAGCATTGCTTAATTCATTAACAACTGAGTTTTCCATCTTGGTCCTGTCCAGAACTTCCAGGTTACAGGGGCCCTATTGAACCGAACCTGCCAGTGCCCTCACCTGGCTCTTCACTTTGGTTCTGGAAGCAGACCTGGGCCTCTTCTCTCTCATCATCAGTGAGCAACAGCAGCTCCTCATGTGGCCACCGGAGCTCCCCACTCTCTTCACTTACCTCCGAAGTTTCCACCACAAGGGAGGGCAGATGGGTCTTTTGAGAGACAACCTGCATGGGGACAGCAGAGGTCAGGCTAACTAGGAGGACGAGCCAACAGCAGGGCACAGGGTGGGAAAGTACTGACCTGAACATCCTGATGAATTTCATCTCTGTCCATTTCTTCTCTGTCCTTCCAGAGAGGGTTGGCCAGCCTAGGACTTTCTGGATGCTCATCCTCACTGCTCCCTGGCACAAGGTCCATGGCTGCTGATTTTTAGCATGCAGGGTGGTTGAACTCAGAGTAGAGTTCTGAACCCCTGCCCAGTGTACCCCACAGACTGCTCCTTTAATCTTCTTTGGAGCCTGGCTCCTTAATCACTTCTGAGGAGAGCAGAATGACGTGCTAGGAGATTATGGGCCTTCCAGGGGAGGGGGAAATCCCACGGCTGGGATAACAGCTCTATTTCTACTCACCCCCTGGTGACACTAGGAAAGGCAGTAGGACTATCAAGGAGGACATCTGGATTAAAGCTCTGTGAGTGAAGAGCCTTAACAAACATAACTTCCTTATTCCTTTGTTTCCTGGGTTTCCCAAGTTGGCATATTTCCTTGTATCTTTTAATGAATATTTATATGGTGTTTACTATTTGCCAGGACTCTATGTGTAAACTCATTTAATTATCCTAAAACTATGAGATATTGTTATCAGCTCCCTTTTACAATGCAAAAGCCAGGGCACAAAGAACTTAAATGTTAAATGACTGTCCACACACAACTAAGGTGTTTTCTTCTCCAAACTGGAATTTTGTATGTTACACAAAATCTAGGAAAAACACACACACACACACACACACACACACACCCCAAGGGCATGCCATGATGAAAAATTATTATTTAAATATTTTTTATTGATTGATTTGTAGAGAGAGATTTATGTATTTATTTATGTATTTATTGGTTGAGTCTTGTCTGTGCCTTGGCTAGGGATCTCGGAGTACCAGGATGACACTCTAAGCCAGGGTGTAACAAGTTTATTAACAAGTGAGATCAAGAAATATATAAATACACCCTTTTCCACACCTAGTATACTTGGCTTTGAGTTTTCAGGACTTGAAGGGACTGACGGGGATCCGTAGACGAATTGATATGTCTGAGTATCTGGACATCTACTATGTGTACTGAAACACCACAGGTTATTATAGGAAACCATAGGGCACAACCCCAGCCTTCCCCCCCTTCCCCTTTTTCTGGCCCTGGCCTTCTGTTGATCAGTAAATTTTGGAACTGGGCAACCTACAGCAGCCGTGAAGACAGGCATTGTTGGCCCTGGCCTGGTAGTTCAGGAGGTTAGAACACGTCTGATTCAAGTTGCAGGTTTGATCTCTGGTCAGGGCACCTACAAGAAGCGACCAATGAGCCCTGGCCGGGGTGTTCAGTTGGTTGCAGCGTCATCCATACTCCAAGGGGTTGCAGGTTCCATTCTGCATCAGGACACATGCCTAAGTTTGGCCTCCACGCCCAGTAGGGGCGCTGACGGTAGGTAACCCATGGATGTTTCTCTCTCACTTTCCTTTCCTCTCTCTAAAATCAATTAAAAAAAAAAAATAATAGGATTGAGCGCAGGCCTGCGAACCAGACAATCGCGGTTCAGTTCCCAGTCAGGGCACGTGCCTGGGTTGCAGGCCGGTTCCCTGCAGGCCAGTTCCCAACAGGGGACACACGAAAGGCAACCATACGTTGATGTTTCTCTCCCTCTCTCCTTCCCTTCCCCTCTAAAGATAAATAAAATATTTTAAAGTAATAATAATAATAAACAGGTGGTGAGGATTTTTTTTTTTTTAAAGCAACCAATTGCCCTGGCTGGTGCGGCTCAGTGGATTGACCACCGGCCTGAGAGCCACGGGGTCGCAGGTATGATTCCCGGTCAGGGCACACGCCTGGGTTTCAGGCCAGGTCCCCAGCTGAGGGGTGCGCAGAGGCAACCATGTATTGATGTTTCTCTCCTTCCCTTCCTCTCTAAAAATAAATAAATAAAATCTAAAAAAAAAAAGCAACCAATAAATGAATACCTAAGTGGAACAACAAATCAATGTTTTTCTCTAAAATCTAAAAAAAAAAGGAAAGACACGCACTCCCACTCCAGACTTCCCGACAACGGGCCCCGTGCTTTGCCTTGGGTGTCAAAACCTTTTTGTTGTTGTTGTTTTGTTTAAAGAAATAATAGGCAGCTTTTTTTTTTTTTTTTTTAGTTTTATTTATTTTTAGAGAGGGGGAGAGGGAAGGAGAAAGGGAGAGAAACATCAGTATCTGGCTGCCTCTCACGAGCCCACACTGGGGACCCTGCCTGCAACCCAAGCATGTGCCCCTACTGGGAATCGGACCCGCGACCCTTTGGTTCTCACGTCAGCACTCAACCCACTAAGCCACACAAGCCAGGGCCAAAACCTTCTTGACAGCTCAATCCTTTCGGCCAAATCTAGATTTAACACCCAGATGCTCTAGATTCTAAATGTTTCCTGATTAGTCCTCTCTAGCCCGGCCCCCTCTATGGTGTCCGCTGTGGGTCGCTCTAGCCTGTGCAGGAGGCGGTGAGACGCGCCCGGTGCGAGCCTTTCTAGACTTAGACTGCCTGAGGTCGCCTCGCTCATCCCGTGGTCAGCAATGGTGTCCTTGCGTAAAGCACTGATCACAGTTGCCATAGTGGGTGCGTGGGCTGGCGTGGGCTCCGCACTCTTTGTCCTGGTGACCCCGGGAGAGGAGCGGGTTCGGGCGATGCTAAAGGTGGGATCAGTGGAAATCAGAGTTGGGGTGGGTGGGCCAGCGGAGAGCATGGGGCCAGCCGGAACTGCCATCCTCTCTCCCTGCCCTCAGGAGATGCCGGGACAGGACCCGCGGAGCAGGGAAGAAGCGGCCAGGACCAAACAGTTAGTGCTGGCCACTCTGCAGGAGGCAGCTGCCACGCAGGAGAACGTGACCTGGAGGAAGAACTGGGTGAGCAGTGGAAAATCAACGTGATCCGGGATCCAAACCGGTGGGTGTTGGGAGCTGCGCTCTGGCACCGGAGTCCGAGGCCGCTTTTTTTTCCCCATGGACCTGGCCGGTAGCCCAGGCCGCGGAGCTGCTGCCGAGTGAGCACGTTGCCCCCAAACCCTGCACTGACTGCGCATTCACGTTCTTATCGCTGGCCAGAGTTATCAGACGTGGTGAACTGAAGGGATCAGTAAATCGTGTTCCTCAACCCAGAGAGTGAGCCGTGCGGTCTGACGCTCGTAAATGCCTGGAGTTCTGGGGGTCGGTTCTGCGGGAGGGGATAACTGCAGCTTCCGCCTCGCCTGTTCCCCACGTGAGGCTGAAGCCCAATAGGCACAGTGACCATGTTTTCAAAACAGAAGCCAGTTCACGTGACCTGTTTGAACATACTTTTGGGGACATTCTTGTACTCAGAACTATATCGGAAAATCTTGTGGCAGTAGAGATGTCCGCTCAGATGACACTTAAGGTTCCTATCCTTTGAGTGAGGTTGGAGTGGGGCTTCTAGCACTTAACATGTGCCAGATGTCTCCTGTGGCCATTATTTAACCTTTGGAACCATTTGTTTGAAGTAGTGAAAGCGTGCTGAGTCGCATCTTAATTCCATCATGCTACAAAATCTGAGCCTCAGTCCTGTTCTTTAAAAGGTGGTAACTATCTTAAGGTCTGTCCTAAGGTTAATTTAGAACGGTAAGGTGCGATGTCCGGCAGAGCAGCCTGTCAATAGATAGTGGGGCTTTCCCCCCTTCCAGGTTTTCACTGGTTTTCCATGAGTCCACTCACAGAATCTACTGGAAAGGCCACTGAACGGATGGCAAACTGTCAGTGAAGGAACAGCCCCACAGTCCATTGCTTTTGTCTATTTTATATCCTGACAGTAGGAAAAAAAGGCTGCTTTATTAAATAAATTTAGCCAGACCACTAAGAACACTGAGGTATAAACCCAGATGTGAGTGTTGGAGCTGTTTTTGGCTGCTGAAATCACATCATATATGACCTTTACAGTGTGGTCCTTTCATAGGCTGGAAATGAGAAGAGTTTGCGGGAACCCTAGGCTGGTTAGCAGCAGCAGTGCAACTGGCTCTCATAAAGGTGTTTGGCAGTTCAGGGCCGGAACGCTAGAGGTGGGCTCCCCAGGTGTGAGTCCAGGATCTATAACCTGTGTCAGTGTGGCTAAGTCATATGGTTTAGTGTCCCAGTCTCTACAATGGGACAGTGGTACCCATTCATAGGTAATAGTACCTTCATATCCCAGTTCATGCATATAAAAGTACTTTAAAATGTGTGCTATTAAGTTTTAAATGCTTTTTAGTGCAGAAGTGATGTGCTTGTGAGAGTCACTAATGTTCCTCAACATTCAGAAACGTCTAGTAATTCCTGGGGACTGACTCAGTTCCAGGCACTGTGCTCAAGCACCTTTTACCCACATTGCGTAACCCACAACCACCCCACCGACGTGTGTGATCATGTCTGTTTCACTAAAGGAGGTAAGTAAGCTTAAGAAAGTACAGGCACACAGCTAACCAGAATTTCAGGCTTATGTAGCGCTTTACTCATAGGAGCAAGAGATGCTATCCACTATATTCCCCACCCCTAGTTCCTCTCCCCCTTCAACCTCCCCAGTAAACTAATCAGACCCAGAGATTAGAAACAAGTCTCTTTGTTAACATTAAGATAAGGAGTAATATTTACTCTAAAAGCACTCCCTTTAGAGTCTTCCTCTGCCTCAGTTTGGTCCCTCCCAGCCATTCAGGAAGGAGTCTGGCATATACAGAACGCAGAGGGTCTGTTTATTAGGAAGGAGATGTCAGTGCTTTATCAAAGACGAAGAGGTCAGATAAGGTGGGATAAAGCCTTCTCAGCTGGGACATTTCTTGGCCACAATGAGAACAGCAGAAGGCACAAGTCCTAAAGATGGAAGAAAAACAGGTTTAAACCACACATACCCATTTGTCCCCCAAAATTCCTGGCCTCACATCATCTCCACAAAGTCCCTTCTCTCTGCGTCCCTTCCTTCCTCTCTCAGGTATGTCCCCTATCGTACCCAAGTCCTGCTTCAGGTCCCCAAGTTGTCATACCCAGCTCCTGCAGGGGCCGCTCCATGTCGGCCTCTGAGAAGGCCCGCCGGGGGAAGCCACTGAGCAACTGCACAGGGTCCCGGCCCCCTCCGGGTTCCTCTCCACGGTGGAGCTCTACGTAGAGCCTAACAGCTGCCAGCTGTTCCCGAGCCCGGAAGGTCTGGGTCAGCGAGGTCCCATCTGGCAGCCTGACCTAGAGGGCAAGTGAAAGACTACAGTGAGTGTCAAAGCTGAGTGAGGCACCAAGTAAGGGAAAGAAGAGCAAAGCTGGCTCCTTCTCAGATCGAACCAACGTAACTACTATTAAAAGCACCTAATGAACAATTATTCAGGCTCTGCTTGACTAAGTACTGAACAGAAACATATTCCCTTGAAATTTAAGATGGACAAAGGCAAGATTACACAAAACTACCTGGATAAAATCCTCATCATAAATGAACGTTAGCTTTGCAAACAGCTGTGTAATAAACCCAAAGAAAGCATGAAGTGAATAAGTAATTGCTGAGTAAGAAAAAGATATGGATTTAAATAAGATTGGGCAAGTGAAATTTGATCTTTCCTAAGAGTAGAGGAGGTAGGTTTTCAAAAGCTCTTTACAAAGAAGGGAGAGGTCTGGCAAAGGAAACAGGACTGAAAGAAGCTCTGGGCTAGGCGCTTTCTAGGCCCATAGATGGTTCCCTGGAGCAAAGAGATCCAGAATCAGTACCTGTATGCGACACTGGTCGTACTCCCGCTTGGTGGGAGGCTCCTGGCTGGGAGAGGAGGGAACAGGCCCTGGCTCTGTTGGCGGGGATGGCTGAGAACTCACACCACCACCATACTGGAGAACAAAGTAAAACACCGCATCAGGCACTCGCCCACCCGCAGGAGAAACACTGTGAGCCCTCCTTTCCCGCCAATGCAGAAAATGGTATTAGCTCTCCCTACTCAATTACCTACCTTTTTGGCTCTCTCTGCTTTGTCTCTTTCAATCTTTTCTCTGACTCTCTGCCTGAAATGTGGACAGAAAGAAAGGTCAGGTGTTGAGAAAGCACATATTGATTCCTTTCACATGTCTCCTCCCACACCCCCAGCACCAGAGACCTGGCTGCTAACTCTTCGGCCTTTTCCCTCCTCCGCTCCTCCGCTGCCCGGCGCATCTCATCTTCCTGCAGCCGCTGTCTGGCAGCTGACAGCTCCTGCCCTTGTCTCCTGCGCTGCCGTTCCCGTTCCAACGCCTCCCGCTCCTCTCTTTCTTCGCGCTCCCGCTGTTTCTGGGCCACCAGCTCCAACATCCTGTGTGGCAAAAAGGAAAAAGCTCAAGAGAAATGAACATGGATTGGGAAGGTGAGTTTATGACAAAGGACTCAAAAAACAAACTCAGGAACCCGGTGATAAAAGATGAAAAAAAAAGAAAAGGAAGCGCCAAGCAAGGACGGAAAGAATGTGAAAAATCTGAGATTCTTGATTAGACTGTGTACTGGGTAGAGGTGGAAGGTGACCCTCAAGTATGCGCAACTGTTCCTTACCTCTTCGTCTGTTCCTGTCTTTCCTCTTCACTCAAGGAGGGTTTGCTTTCTTCCACGCCGGACCCGGGTCCTACAAACGAGTGATCGGTGTCATTACCCGTTCATCCTCCTCGGGCCCTCCTGAATAATCACCCCATGTCCCTCAGTCAGGACCTTCAGGGCCACCTTGCTCAGAGGAGGTGGGTTCCCGTCCTAGGATATGTCCGAGGGGAGTCGCTAGCGGCTCGTCCACATCAGGGTCGTCTTCATGCTCCATCAACCTGGCAAAGAAAGTCGGGAGGGAGGTCAACGTTGAGGCTGCCCCTCCCAGTCCCCAGTCCCCTGACACCGATGTGAGCGCTCACCAGTCCATCGCGGCCTCGATGCCCTGGTTCCCTGTGAGGGCCAGAGCCTTCTCCCTGAGGGCAGAAACACCGTGAATAGCGCCCACGAGCCATGGTGACGGTCAGGTTGGGGCGTAGAGCCTGAGGCCAGGCTGGGGGAAAGGCCTGGACACATCCGAGACCCCCGCGGGCCGGGGTTAGAGGGGCTCCCTTACGCGCGTCCCCTGGGGAAGCCCATCTCGATGAGGCTCTCCAGAGCCGTCAGCTCCGCCATGACGCCGCCAACGCCGCTTCCGCGGGGACCTGGGAGGACGAGAAGGAGGGCGGAGGAGGTCAGCGCGGGGCGCCCTTGGGCCGCGAGCAATCCCGCCCCCGACGGTGCAGACCGGGGCGTTCGCCTACTCACCTGACCACGGACCCGCCGCGGACACAGAGGAGAAGAAAGCAGAGAGGAAGCGGAACTGCCCGGATCTGTTTGGGTCACGTGGAGAAGGACGTGGACGGGTGCCGCGGAGAGTCAGAAAGCACAAGCCTGGCCCAGACCGGGTGTTCAGTGAGTTAGAGCGTCCTCTGGATGAGGAAGAGTTGTAGGTTTCACCTCTGGTCAGGGACATACAACGAATAACCAATAAATACACAAATGAGTGGAAAAACAAGTCAATCTCCATCTCTGCCCCCCATCTCTTTAAAATTATAAACCAGCCCTGGCCAGTGTGGTTGGAGCATTGTCTTGTAACTGAAAGGTTAAATGTTCGATGCCCCAGTCAGGGCACATATCTAGGCTGCAGGTTTAATCCTCGGTAGGGGCGCCAACGATCCCCCATTAGGGTGAGTACTGGAGGCAACCAACTGATGCTTCTCTGTTACTCTCTAAACAGAGATGTTTCTCTCCCTCTCTCTCTAAAAACAGTGAAAAAAATGTCTTTGGGTGAGGATCACAAATAAAAATAAATAAAATCGATTAAAAAAAGTTTAAAAATTACGGAAAAAAGAAAGCACAAACGTGAGCCTTCTGCCAGGAGCAGCCGGGCAGGGAAGCATCCTGTTAGAGTGGGATAGAGAAATGGCCCCTAAACCAGGGCGCCTGAGAGCTGTGGGGAGGGCGATACGGTGCTGAACCCATGGGTGGAAGGAAGCCAGTTCCTGATATGGTCCCTTGGTGCAGCCAGTTAAGAAGCTATTTGGCACTGTTTACCAATATTAGAAATGTGAATACTCTTTGACCTGCTCAGCCTCTTCAGGGAATTGAGTCTTTTGCAAAACACAGTATCTCACCCCATCATCACCTCCCTGCTTAAAACTCCAAGCCACCCCAATCACTTAGGAGAGGATTTAAATGCCAGTAGTTTGGCTTCCTCCTGCTGCACCCCCTTCTTTGGTAGAGCCCCATCTGTAAAGTGAGGATAACAACAGCACCTACCTCAGGTACCTGGCAAGACTGTGCTGTGTAAATGTGAGTAATTAGCAGTTTTACCTTCCACCACTTGCAGGTTACTTGTCCTTATTGCAAAACAGGCCCTCTCTCTTCTCCTGGCCTTTGCCCCTACCGGACCCTCTGCCTGGGTTGTCCTGCCTCTTCCGTGGGCTTGGTTAACTCTCAGTCAGTTTTTGGACTCTACTCTGGGTTTTCTTCTTTCCTTCTTTTATTTTTAAAAATATTTTATTTATCTATTTCTATAGAGACAAGAAGGAAGGGAGGAAGAGAGGGACAGAAACATCTCATGGTTGCCTCTGGTGTGCCCCCTACTGGGGACCTGGCGCGCAACCCAGGCATGTGCCCTGACCAGAAATTGAACCGGTGATCCCTTGGTTTGCAGGCTGGCACTCAATCCACTGAGCCACACCAACCAGGGCTTTCTTTCTTTCTTTAAATTTTTATAACTTGGACATCCGGCCAAGATGGAGGCATAGGTAGACACACTGTGCCTCCTCGAACAACCAAAATAACAACAACAAAAATTTAGATACAAAAAAGCAACCAGTACTGACAGAAAATTGAACTGTATGGAAGTCCGACAACCAAGGAGTTAAAGTAGACACATTTATCCAGATTAGTAGGAGGGGAGGAGTTGGGCAGCCAGGTGGAGAGGGGTCTCAGCAAAAAGTGGTGGCTGGCAGCCCCTGGGCATGCTGGGCAGCAGAGGGGGGGGGGCGACCCAGGGAGGCTGCAGATTGTGGAGGGGTGCTGGTGTGCAAGGTGGCTGGCGGACCCAGTGGTCCCACATTCGCATGCAGATAAACCAGGCAAAGCTGGGAAGTGAGACAGACTGAGCAACCCAGGGTCCAAGAGCAGGGAAATAAAGCCTCAAAACATCAATTGAAAACACCTGTGGGGGTTGAGGCAGCAGTGGGAGAAACTCCCAGCCTCATAGGAGAGTTCGTTGGAGAGACCCACAGGGTTCCAGGATGTACACAAACCCACATACCCCTGGTATGGGAAATCAGCACCACAGGGGCCAAATTTGCTTGTGGGAAGCAGGGGAAGTGACTGAAATCCAGCAGAGAGCAAAACAAGTGCCATTGTTCCCTCTTAGACCCCTCCGCACATCCATCATCACAACAGCCATGTGGGTGGCCCCGTCCAGGCGAACACCTAAGGCTCCACCCCTTACTACAAGGTGCGTCAAGACAAAAAAAAAATGGCCCAAATGAAAGAAGAGATCAAAACTCCAGAAAAAATACAACTAAGCCATGAAGAGATAGCCAACCTATCAGATGCACAGTTCAAAACACTGGTGATCAGGATGCTCACAGAACTGGTTGCTTTTAGTCACAAATTAGAGGAACAAATGAAGGCTAAACTAATTGAAATGAAGGGAAATGCACAGGAAACCAATAGTAATGGAAAGGAAACTGGGACTCAAATCAAGGGAGTGGACCAGAAGTAAGAAAGAAACAACCAAACAGAAAAGAATGAAGAAACAAGAATTCAAAAAAATGAGGAGAGGCTTAGGGACCTCCAGGACAACTTTAAACATTTCAACATTTGAATTATAGGGAGAAGGAGAAGAGGAAGAAGAACAAGTGGAAAAGTTATTTGAACAAATAATAAAGAAGAACTTCCCCAATCTGGCAAAGGAAATAGATTTCCAAGAAGTCCAGGAAGCTCAGAGAGTCCCAAAGAAGTTGGACCTAAGAAGAAACACACCAAGGCACATCACAATTACAATACCCAAGATTAAAGATAAGGAGAGAATCTTAAAAGCAGCAAGACAAAATGAGAGAGTTACCTACAAAGGAGTTACCATCAGACTGTCAGCTGATTTCTCAAAAGAAACCTTACAGGCAAGAAGGGGCTGGAAAGAGGTATTCCAAGTCATGAAAACCAAAGACCTACAACCCAGATTGCTCTATCCAGCAAAGCTTTCATTTAGAATGGAAGGGCAGATAAAGTGCTTCTCAGATAAGGTCAAGTTAAAGGAGTTCATCACCACAAAGCCCTATTATATGAAATGTTAAAGGGACTTATCTAAGAAAAAGAAGATAAAAAAATAGGTACAGTAAAATGACAGCAAACTCACAGTTGTTGTTTTTTTGAACAAACTCACAGTTATTAACAACCACACCTAAAACAAAAACAGAAACAAACTAAGCAAACAACTAGAACAGGAACAGAACCACAGAAATGGAGATCAGATGGAGGGTTATCAACAGGGGAGTGGGAGGAAGAGAGAGGGGGAGAAGGTACAGAGAATAAGTATCATAGACGGTAGGTAGAAAATAGAGGGGGGAGGTAAGAATAGTGTGGGAAACGTAGAAGCTAAAGAACTTATAAGTATGACACACGGACATGAACTAAAGGGGGGAATGTGGGTGGGAGGGGTGTGCAGCGTGGAGGGGAGTGAAGGGGGAAAATGGGACAACTGTAATGGCATAATCAAGAAAATATATTTTAAAAATTTTATAGCTTTATTTGAGCCAAAGTGATGGCATGGAGCAAGATTTCAAATGCTCCCCAGGTTTGCTTTCTCAGGGAAGCCCGTCTTGTCTATCCCCACCTCCCCACTCAGCTCCTGTAATTACCCCGTCAAGCATTTATACTCCTCCTGTATCGTCCTTGTGGATTACTTAGCCCACTACACAGGCCTTTACCAGGAGACACAGTACAAATAAGTCACTGATACTGATAATATATACACTAGAGGCTTTCTTTTTAAGATTTTAAAAACATTTTAATGGAGATCATGATGTTGACATTTGTTCCTCATTCCACATCATCTTCAGCCAAGCTCTGAGCACTTACAATTCTCCAGTTGTTGGACGCTTGGGCAGAAGCATCTGGGGCAGGGGCCATGGGAGAGTTTGCTGTGGCCCTTGGAGTAGCCGCGGTGGCTGTCCTCACACCGCGATCGCACTGGTCAGATGGTCTACGCCCTTTCCTACTCACCGTGGGCTACTAACTGTTCACCACGCTGTATTTCTTCAAGGAACAATTTCCGAACAGCTTCAGCACCTTTAAGGTCAGGTAACTTGGAAAGTCCAGCTCTCTCTTTGGCAAGCTTTTGTTTCTGTCTTCGTTCTTGCGGCCCGTTCTTGAAGTTGGGGTCACTCCGCCTCTTGCGGTCGAAGTCGATGCAGAAGTCGATGCAGTAGCCGATGAGGAGGCCCCCCGCACACGCCACCACCTTGTCTCCACCACGGCGAGGGGTCGGCAGCTGAGGGGGCCAGAGGAGAAGCCGCTGGCCAGGAACCCGCGGAGAGGACCGGACCGCGCGGCTGCAACTGGCTCTTGCCGCGAAGGGAGAGGAAAAGCGGAGCCCACCACTTCTGGCCCCGGCAGTCTACACACTATAGAGACTTTTCGGTGATGAATGCATATTTAATCATCACTACAACCCAGTGATACAGGTACCACGATTAGGCGGCACAGGAAGCAGACACAGGAAGATGAGATAATGTACCTAAGGTCACAAAGCCGGTGCCTGGCAGAGCTAGGAGTCAAACCCTCGTGAATTCAGTGAATGCAGTGCGTGTTCGCCAAACCACTACGCTAGGTGGCCTCTCCAAGGTGGAGCGCAGCGCGTCAGCCTTGAAATTGGGAAACTCGGGCCCAAATCCTATCTCGACTTCCTACATGTAGCTTCAAACCATTTAGGACCTCAAATTTCTCATCTGTGAAAGGGTCCATACCATCTGTTGAAATGATTGTAAAGATCGATAACACATGGGACACATGTCTTTTTCAATCAGATTTATTGAGATGACACTGGTTAGCAAAATCATACAGGTTCCAGGTGCACAATTCCACAACATATCTGTACAATGTATTGTGGAAGCATGTGTTTAATAATGAGGTAGTTAGCCCTCGTTATTTGCAAATGGATAAATGATGAGGATACAGTAAGCAAAGTAAAAAGGCACAAAGTATTCACTGGAGTGTGATGAGTGTATTCTATATAACGACCGGGTTCTAATTTATTTGAGAAGTCCAGTAATAAAAGAATGATTAAATTGTGTAGCACTGCCTCTTTGACCTACTGCCGAGCAAGTACCGTATCGAAACATGAACACCTGAGGATACACAAACAAGCATGTCCACAGCTAATACCACAGACTCAAGTTCCGACAGAGTGAGGGCTGCTGAGAGTTAAGGAGTGTCCTCCTGGGGAAGGTTATGCATCCTGCCCTGGCTGGTGTGACTCAGCGGACTGAGTGCTGACCAAATAGTTGCCGGTTTGATTCCCAGTCAGGGCTCATGCCCGGGGTGGGGGCTGGATCCAGGCCCCCGTTGGGGGAGTGAGCGAGGCAACCAACTGATGTTTCTCTCACACATGGATGTTTCTCTCCCTCTTTCTCTCTCCTACCCCCTCTCGGAAGGTAAATAAAAATCTTTTTTTTAATCAAAATTATGTTTATTACTCTGAAAAATAAGTATGTGGGCAGGGAGTTGAAAAGGATTATGAAAAATTAAATGTTTCCCTCTTGTTTCCGATAATACTGTTACAGGGGGTACACAGTAAACACAAATTGGGGGGAAGAGGAAATCCCTTGGTATTATTATTAACTTTTATTTATATCTTTTAATTGGCAAGCTTGACCCAGACAGCTGCTCGGGCTATCCTCTCCTCGCCACCCCATGCCGGTCATTTATTCTCATTTATTCGTCCCGGCCTGGGACGCAGTCGTGCGCAACCTCGGTGTCTAGACAAAAGGCAGGAGTCGTGGTCTCCCGCCCCAAACTCCCGTCTGTCCAGCAGCAGCTCACCCTCGAAGCCTCCCTGAAGCCCCCCACCGTGGCAGGCCCTTCTAGGGCGTATGGCGGGGGTTGCTAACTACAGCCAACAGGCCAGATGTGGCCCGGCCCTCACCTGTCGGGTCCCTGGGCTAAGAATGGTTTTTACATTTTTATAAATGGCTACCTGGTCATATAAGGACCTATATAACATCCTCGATTTTATCCTCTGGAACCGCAAAACCGAAATTGTTCATTATCTTGTCCTTGGAGAAAAACTTTGCCGACCCTGTTTTTCTACTCCTTCCCAACTTCAGCCAGGAGCACAGGTGACAGTCTGGGACCCGCAAGAACTCTCGCGGGGGGCACGGGGCGGCAGCGGCCCGCACCTCCTCCCGGAGCTCCGGCCGAGCTCCTGGGTGCGGGCTCTGCGCACCCAGCTGCACGCCGGCTGCTTCAGAGCCCCGCAGCGGGCGGGGTGACCGGGCGGGCGCGGCGAGGACAGCCGCAGCGCTGGCGCAGGCAGAAGTGCCAGACCAGGGCGCCGCAGCTCAGCAGGGCCAGCGCTGCTCCCACGCCCACGGCCGCGTGGACCAGGCTGCGGGGGCGGAGGGGCACGGCCACGGGGCCGCACGGCCCGAAGGCGGGGAGGCCCGCACCCTCGGGGCCCTCGCCACCCTCCTCGGGCACGCTGCTTACACCCGCCGCGTTAGCGGCCACCACGCAAACCACATAAGCGCCCCCGGGCTTCAGCCCCTTCAGTTCTGCTCGGCGGAAGGTAGAGTTGAGGGGCGGGCCCTTCTGGGGAGGCCCGCTGCCTTCCCAAAGCAGCAGCCAGTACTGGTGGACCGGGGAGGAGGGGGCACACCAGTGCACCACCGCGCTGCCGTCCTCTGCCACCACGTGCACTTCTCCCAGGCGTGGTGGGGCGGGCGGCTGCGCAGGGCTGGAGAGCCCCGGGCACAGGCAGGCCCTCGGGCCCGCCCTCTGCAGCTCTTCGCACGGGACCTGTAGGTGGCGGCAGCGGTCATAGTCACAGAGGACAGCAGGCAAAGGTGACCACATTATCTCATCTCCCTCTTCTTCTGAGTCTTGAGGGGCCAAGTGCTGCGCTCTGGGAACCAAGGAGAAGGCGACAGCCAGGAGCCACAGAAAGCAGGGAACGCCCAGCATGGAGTCTGGAAAGGGAGGGGATTCTGGGTCAGGAAAGGCTGCTGTGCCCCGACCTCTCCAGGCCGCCTGGCTCAACAAAACCCCTGGGGACCAGGGGACACTATTGGGGACTGAGAAAACAGGAAAGAGGAGGTAATGAGACCGACACACTCATTCGTCGACCAATTTCTGAAGAGCCTATGTGCTAGATTTCAGGCAAAAAAAGAATAAAATGTGTCGGACGGGAGACAGATGTGTGACCAGCAAGGTAGGAAGCAGGAGAAACAGTTAGTGAATAAATCAAGTGCTGGGAGGAGAAGAGGAGGAAAATATTTACTCAGCCAAGGGAGGAAAAGTGGAGTAATTCCCAGCTGCTATGCAGAGAGCTCTCAAAGAGAAAGGTCGGAGAGAACTGAAGGGGAAATAGGGAGCTCACGGCCCACTCACCACAGGAGGCCTGATCCTTGCCAGTTCCCCACCTGCCCCTGACCCTCCCAGGCCCCCACCCACAGCCTCTCACCAGTGTGGGGGCCTTGAAATATGCCCCCGGACCTCTGCGAATTTCAGGCCCAGGGTCCCCAGGAGCACAGGCTTCGCTGTCAGGTTTTGCGTCTTCAACTTCAATTCTGTTTTGCTTCGAAACTTTTATACCCTTAAGCTGTGATGTCACTACCTAGTCCCCCTCCTCCTGCCCCCCTTTCCTGGTGAGTGCCAAGAAGAGGGCTAGTCCCTTCAGAGGGTCTGAGTCACAGGGCCAGGAATCAGGGAAGCCACACGCTTGGGTTTCAGCTGGAGGCCAGGATGCCTGGGTTCTGAAAGGGGACTGGAATGTGGAAAGCAGCCAGGAGCTGAGAAACCAAAGGCTAAATCATGTGAAGGGATGAGAAGGGACACGAGGGGGGGGGCACCTGGTTGGTATCAGGGGAAAACAGCTGTGGACAGCATGTGGCTTGGGCCACAAAATGCTGTTTTGGTAAAAATCCTAACACTTCCCTGGCTGTCATTTCCTGCCTCCCGCCTCCCAGTGGACGACATAAAAGGAGGGGTGCAAAGGCCTGAATGATGTAGCCCAGCTCTCCAGACCCGCCCTACACTATCCCCCTCCCCAGAGGGAAATACGCGTCACGTGGATGGAAGAGGCCAGAGAGGCTTTCTCTCCTAGCACTCCTGAGGGTTATGAATGAAAACAACTGTGTTTAATCCAGGGTTTGGAGGTCCTCCCCATCTGGCCCCAGAGAAGGGAGGGGCTGCCCATCAGGGGTGGGTGGTGCCTGGGGAACACAAGGTTTTCAAGTGAACCCGAATCAAGTTCAAGGAGTCAGCGAAGAGTCAGGAAAGTCGCTGGCAAGAATATAGTTTATTGGGAAAGCCACAGACAAAGGCGGAAGGGAAAGGGCCCAGTGGAAAGGGCTGGAGTGTGGGTCTCTGCCCTGTTCTCTTCAAGAGCTGGAGCAGGTGGGGTGCCGCTGCTGAGCCCCCCCAGAAGGATCAGAGCTGCCCAGGGTCTCTGGGGCCAGGGCAGGGGCAGAAGCAGGCAGGTTGGCCTCCGTCAGCAGAGCTGCATCTTCCCAGGAGCCTGAACCTGGCCAGGGGAGGGAGAAACCACATTCCAAAGGGGAAATGAGATGACCAGGGGCCCTGGCCCCACCTGGTGCAGCCTCCTCTCCGCCCTCATGCCACCGCCCAGCCCACCCTGCTCCCTACACAGGGGGTCCCTCACCATCGCTGGCCTCGGGCTCCAGCTCTTCCTCTCCGCTCTGGGGCTGCTGGTCTGGTTTTTCCTCCTCAGACAGCTGGCCCTCTGCAGCCACGGGGGAGATGCAGAGGTCAGGCAAGAGGCTAAAGGGGTGGGTGGGTTAGGAGGAGGCAGGAGGAGGGGATGGATGGAGGATGGCTGCAGCACCATACCTGTCCCTGAGGGGTCTTCGGGGCTCTCACCGTCCTCTGTGACGTCTGGCAGCTGGGTTGATCCTTCCCGACCTTGGGACAGAGGGCAGGACAGGGCCAGGATGGCTGCGCCTGGACGGCGGTGCCTTTCCTTTGGCCTTCTGCTCAGTGTGCGCGCCTTAAGCCTCAGACTGGATGGAGCAGAAGCCCCCGTCACCCAACCCCCGACTCCCACCATTACCTAGCTGACGGGCAGTGGTCCTTCCCTGGGCTTCCTTCCGGGCCCCGTCCCTTTTCCGGATGTTCACCTGCGGAGGAGACTACTCAACAGTGAGGACTGACTTCCCTCGCCAGTGTTGGGGGGGAGGGCCTCACACCCGAGGCCCCCAGTGTGCCCTGGCCCACTCCCAGTCAGAGAAGAATCCTGAAGGGCCGAGGAAAGGGGTCCTTAGTGACCTGCAGGGCGAAGCGGTGTCGGGGCCAGACGCCGCCCCACATCCACTGCATGTAGCTGAAGAGCACGATCACGCTGAGGAAGGTGAAGTTGCTGGCGACACCTATGAAGGCGCAGGTCATGGGGAAGTTGTACAGCAGGTACCTGAGGCAGAAAGTAGGGACAGAGAGGTAGCAGTTCCGGGCACCGACCTTCTCAGAAGACAGCAGTTCTCAACTCTGGCTGCACATCAGCACTCCCTAGGGTGCTTTCAAAAAGCCTCATGGCACCCTGGCTGGTGTGGCTCAGCTGGTTGGAGAGGCGTCCCACACAACAGATGGTTGCGGGTTGCATTCCCTGTCAGGGCACGTGCCTAGGTTGCAGGTTCAGTCCCCAGTTTGGGGGGTGTGAGAGGCAATCGACTGATGTTTCTCTCCCCTTCTCTCTCTAAAAATCAGTAAGCACACCCTTGGGTGCGGATAAAAAAAAAAATCTGATGGCCAGAGGTGAGCCCAGTAGATTCTGGTTCAGTTGGAGTGTTTTTAAAAAGTTCCCCAGGGAATAAAGAAACAAACAAACCAACGCAAATTCAGAGGCAGACAAAACACTGGTGGTTACCAGAGGGGAAGGGGCTGGACGGAGGGTGAAATGGGTATAAAGGCTCAGTGGTATGGTGACGGCGGGGAAGGACTCGGCGGTGAGTATGCTGTAGTACGGACAGTTGGTGAATTACAATGAGGTGTACTTGAAATGTTAGAAATCAATGTTGAAAAAGAAAAGAAAGAAGGAAGGAAGGAAGGGAGGGAGGGTTCCCCAGGAAACTGATTTGTGCAGCCTGGGTTGAGGCCTGTGGCCCATGGAAAACCTGTTACCTTTGCTTAGGACCCTCTTTGCTTAAGGGCAGCCCCAGGAGAGCCTCTGAGGTGTGCTTCAGTGGTTCCTCACCTGAGCCCAGAGAAGTGGGCGTGGATGCGGAGGTAGGCTCCGTACAGCTGGATGCGTTTGCTGTGTACCTCGATGATCGCTCCCGTGGTCGGCACGTACTGCAGGGTTGGGGGGGAGGGGTGGTAGCCCATCAGGCCAGGGTCTTGCTGCTGTCAATGTGAGGCCCGCTTCCAGGCTCTCTGTTGCTGTCCCTCCTCACTGAGCCCAGAGGCTCCTCAGGCAGAGCTCTGGGCTTATGGGGAAGGTCACCTCCTAGTCTCCCTTCACCCGCTTACCGAGTTTTCTCTGTATTCTGGGTACAGCTCCACCTCCAGGACCTGCTTCTGCTCTGCAAACCCAAACAGCAGCAGGCTCGAGAAGACCAGCGTGTCAAGCATCTGGAGCAGGTCTGAGCGGTAATGCAGCATCACCTGCCGGGGCCGGGAGGGAGAGGCTGTGGTCAGGCCCCCCCAGGCTCGTTCTCATGGGCCAAGCCGCTCGCAGTTGCCCCTGAGCAGTCTGGGAAGGCTGCTTCTTCCTCAGGTCCCCTGCTCCCTCGCCTACACCTTTTACCACGCTCAGTCCAAGTCTTGGCCCAATCATTCTGAATGCTCAAGGGACAGCCCTGCCCTTCCCAACCATGTGTTTCCATCCCAGAACAATAAAGGAACCCTCCCAGGTTAAGCCTAACACTGTCTCGGCTCTGCCTTTCCCCCCGAGTTTTCTAGAATCCAGAAGAGACCAAGGCCCGGTGTACCACCCTGAAGCTTTGTCCCCTACATGGACATTCAGGGATTTGCTTCATGATGTGGGTCTGTTGACAGTTAAGAATGGAGCCTTAACGATTACTGAACACCCACTATGTGCTAGTAAGCACTTTACATTTCCTCATTGAACCCAGACTAGTCTGGCTCTGTGGCGTTACTATTATGCCGTTTATAACACTTTAAAACCAGTAGGGTTAAGTTAGCTGCCCCTCGGCCAGTGTGTTTCTGAGTCAAGGTGTGAGCCCAGGTCTGTCTGGCTCCAAAAGAGCCCACTGTCAGAGCAGTTCCACTCCAGACTCTGCCCCGAGGCTGGACAATGCCACCAGCTATCTGACCCCTCGCCCCTGTCCTGATGCGTCTGCAACCTCACAGCGGAGATGTTTTCTCCTGAGGGCCCACCCCAATTTCCCAACTCCCGTCGCCCTTCTGCACGCCTCCCACGTGGGCCGCGCACACTTACGGAGCGGGAGGAAGTGGAGATGATTCGTCCACCTCGGGTGTAGCACGAAATGGTGACCAAGAACATGCCCAAGCCTTGATTCACAGGGGACTCTGGCAGCTCGAGCTCCAAGGTGACGCGGTAGGGCTGCCCATACATCAGCACCTGCCCGAGGTAGCCACATCTCTTTTCAAAAGTACTTTTACTTTACCTTTTTTTTTTTACTTGTCTGAAGGTGCCTGACAGCAAAAACACATATTTTTAAATTGTACTGTCTCTCTTCCACCTCCCTGCTAACCCTCCAAATACTTGGCCACACCCGCCTTGGTTGGCCTTAAGGGCGTCTTCACCTCTCATCCCAAGAAGGTGCTGCCCCCTTCTGGTGGCCGGAGCCTTCCCACTTCTGAAATTCTGAGATCTGAATCAGACTCTAGCTGCTCTATTCTGAGAAAGGGTGTGTCGGGTTTCTTTTCCAAAAGTGAACCATCCTGTTGCCAACTGGGCCATCTGTGACTCAGGCCCGTCCCCGGGAGGCCACCCCGCCGGGCCTAGCCTGCCTGCACTTACATTATTAATTAACCCAGTGCCAGAGTGCTCACCGCCTCCCTAGCCCGGTTGGGCGCCGCCCCTGGTGCTCCAGATCCACTTTTTGTCACTGTGGGTCCCTTACGTTGGTTCCATTGGTAGAACCCTGAGAAGACTGCTTCCCTGGGATTAATCTCGGAATGTTACAGACTGGCCACCAACACACCCTGGCTTTTCCTGACCATTCCTATGGTCCCCTGATCCCCTATCAGCTGTTTTCCTATGTCATGACTCCCTCAGGGTGGCATAAAAGAATCCTGGGGGTGGTGGTAAAACTTAAGCTATTGCAACAGATTTTAAAAATTATTGTTTATTCTATTACAGTCATCCCAATTTTTGCCCTTTTGCCTTCCTCCGTCCAGCCACTCCCGGTTCCGCTCCCATAGTCAATCCTCACACCACTGTCCATGCCCAGGGGTCATTCATATGTGTGTCTTTAACTGAAGAGAGAATGGATTTCTTTTAAAGGTTGGAAAACATTGCCCCAGCCCACAGAGAACCAGCTCCAAAAGCTGGATATGGCTCTGAGGGTCCTCTGAGAACTTTGTCACCAGGGTAAAAGGTGGAATGTGCTGA